CGTGGAGCTCTCGGCATCTCGAAAGATGTTGATCTTCGTTTTAGTCCTCTTTTTGTCTCAAAGTCTGCTTGCCATGGTCCATAATGTTTGAACAAAACAACAACAGCGTGAGCGTCCATTGATTGGCGAATCCTCACCCCTGCTCACACGCCCCGTTTCCTTGGTTAAAATCGCAATTTTCTCACGATTTACAAATAGTTGGAAACATTTGGGATATTGTAATTAATCAACTAAACTAAATATATAATATTGGCCTAGTGGTTTTTGGATATTTTACTGCAAAAATCCAGCATATTGTAGGCTTACAATAAGATTAATCGATTAATCGGATAAAACTTTCAATTAGATTTTTTGTTTATTATTATAACTAAATAAAACCCTAAATCAGGGTATTTATGTGTAAAAGTGAAAAAGTGCAAAAGCCACACATTGAGTTTTACTAATATCAATATTTGCATTGTTTTTAATGATTTGCTGATGGCAAGTTGAAAACCATGATTAATGAAAAAAATAAATAATTTATCCAACATATGTTTTAACACAATTTTTGTTAAAACAAATTTACACAGACATGTTGTTCAGATGTGAAGATAAAAATTAAATGAACTATATATTTTAGATGTTTTTAGTTTATATTTAAAATTAATTGAATTATAAGGATAAATTGATCAAATAAATATAGAAAGACTGAAAACAAGCGTGTGAACGTAGAGCCGCAGTATGAACAACGTTTGAAAAACAATTAAAACTTATTATACCATGGTCTGGGTGAATACTCGATTCTGATTGGCTGCAGAGTGTCCATTAAAAAGTGATAGAGGACACCTAGTCAAGGAGTTCTGGCGTAACCAGGGAAACCAAGTTATTGTTTGTAAAAACTTTAGATTTCGGTTGTAAACCTAATTAAAATATAAACTACTAATGTTTTAAAAATGTGTCATTTGGCAAGTGACCATGGTATAAGTGGGTTAATGCCCTTCGAGGTATCCATTGTCTAGGTATTAATGGACCTCGGCGGAGGCAACCGTCCGACGCGCTCACGCCTCGCCGTCGTCCATTAATACCTGACAATGGACACCTCGTCGGGCATTAACCCTTACATAGTAGACAAATGCTATAAAAAAAGAGAACGGAATGGAGGTACGCAGCAAGCTAACAGGCTTGATTAAAAGGACAGGAAAAATGATGCATTAGTGCACAAGCATTCCCTGAAAACCACTGAGTACAGTGACTAAAAAACAATATTTTACTGCTGCTGTTATTAACTGCCTTTATATTTAGTGCTTCACTTTGTAAACACCGTTTTAATTTAACCTATTTCTGCGGTAGCGCTATTCTAATCCATCACTTATGTTGCGAGCGAACTGATTGCGCAACCTGATGCTCGAGACAAAATACAAACATCCCAACAAGTCTCCCCAACATTTGCATTTAATGCAACAACAAGCAACTTTTCCTCTGCGGTCGCCCTACAGGTTGGAAGCGGAATTGTCCATTACTGCTGTCGTAAATAATTTAGCCTACCGCATCCTACTGTCGCACGCGCACGCACATGCTCTCTGTTTATCCAGCACCAGCTTTGGAATCAACAATGGCCACAGACAAGGTAGAGTATGATGCATGATTTTATGAAAGTATGATGTAACGCTTGCCGTAAAGCAAGTCAAATTTGTAGTTTTCTTATGTCTCATTCGGACTACAGAAACGCGACCCGATCTGGCAATCTTACATAGCGTGGATATATCAGATAAAGGACCGCAAAGCGGTGGCATAAGTGCATTTCACCATGTCACGACTTGATGAACCACTGAAACAATTTTGAAAACATTATTTTAAGGTAAAAATTCTTACTTAAGTGTTGCTTTAAGTAATAAAAAATAAAAAATATTTTTAACAAAAAATTTGGGGCCGGAATACTTCTGAGTTTTGAAAGTGGAAGTGTGACATTTTGACGGTTCAGTATCAGTAACAACGTTTCCCATATTATTACTTGACCACAAAGGGAATCTCCTAATGACCCCATTAGCTGTGTTTGTATTCTCTTGGATTGAGTCGATCTCTCAGACTAACACTACTCTAGCTGTCCAACAGGAAGTTAATCAGTACTCAAAGAGTTCAACAAGTCCACACAGTTAATAAATGACAGCTGTGGCCAAGTGCATTCCAGCTCTGTTTCTTTCACCATTTGCTCCATATGAGCATTAGAGGCATTGGTATTATCATATCATGACCTGGCACTTCATTATTAGCTGTGTGAACTGCTTTAATCACAATATGTTTGGGTACAGAAGGGGCTTACAAATGACTTAGCAATATTGTGGTGAAAATTACACATGCAGTCAGCCGAACTGAAACTAAATGAGCAAAACCAAAACTCTGAACACATCATTCAGTGATTTGATGGTGCATATTGAATAAAATTGACATGCACACATAGTAGTGTTTGTTCATTCAAAGCGATCAGACAAAACGGGCTAAAAATTCTCACAGACATTGAAAGAGGGCGGTTTTGAATTGGGCTAACCAACCATAAAACAACCACTCAGAAACCCTATAGCAGCCACATACAATGCACAAAAAACACTGAGAACACCTGTAACTGTATAGCAAGTCATTTCCGGTATGATTATTTCATCTCAAAACTAAATATGTTGCATCTGAGATGCTGATCTGTGTACAGTGTGCAGCTCTTACATTGAGAAATATTGCAGCTTTCACTGCTGAATATTAAAGGTCACTCACGTATATGGTGACCCAAGCACTTCATGACACAGAATCGGAATTCTGTTAGCTTTATCAGACTATTACAGTAGCAGTTTTCAGTCAGTCAATGAAGAAACATCTGTTAGGCTATGTTGCAAACACAAACAGAAGACATAACATCTGTTTCTCAACCGGTGATAAGCGACAAACCCGCAACTGCTGACAAAACAGGTGCTTTCATCAGAAGAACAAACCGCTGTTACATGACTAAGGAGATGTTTCTGCATTGTCAAAAGTGAAGACGAGGCATGATTGATTAGGCTGTGGCCATTGATATTATATGTCTAAACACTTTTTGCATAGATTGTAAATGGAAAGTACAAAGGTTTTGGAGGAAAAAAATCAGGAAGAACACTAAAATAGATTCAAGGCCTAGGCTATAAGCCAGATCTTTGCTGTGATAAATATCCTGAGAGCACTGAGCATCAGTGATAATTGGTTCTGATGTGTAGTAGCATCTCATTATCACATTAAGACCAAGATTCCTCATCATTACCACACTAAGCTCACAGCTCTAAATAAAGATGTAGGTAAGTGTCAGAGAAAGTGCTTTCCTATGCAAATCTAAGTTAAAAGGTAAAGGTGTTAAATCTATCCATATAATGAATCTGAATATTTCTAGAATCTGGTGAAAAGTTCCACAACGAACACAGGAAATCAGCTACTCTCTTTTCTTCGCCACAAAGACCTGTGAACATCTCATCTCACAGGATGTAAACCATAAACCCACAAACACTTCATCCACCCATAACCGAATCTCATACCCTCCCTGCTTAATCAAAAACTAATCAAATCTGGGTCTATGTGGTGCAACGCAATTGGTTTCATATGCAGTAATAATGGTCTAATGTATGAGATAAAGATGATATTTCAGAAGAGATTCTGTAGCATACGGGTTTTAAAACTGGTGCAGGCAAAATATAGTAATAAGAAAGCAACAAACACAGGTTTGTTTCGGCAGGCTGATAGTTTCATAAAGCCACCAACCAATGCCCTCTCACACTTCTTCTTTCAGTACAAGTACAACATAGTGATGCAATACCTCGATTTTTTTTAAATGTATGTTTTATCATCCCCCACAATTAAAAAATAAAAGAATAATAAAAATTATTATAAGTTAAACTATAAGTATAAGTTGTCTATAAATGATAAATTATAAGAAACAATCAAATCTATAATTTCTTGATTTACTTTCGCATTTGAATGACTTGGTTATCAGTTGATCTTTACTTCCCCCAAAGTCATAACACCTCTATTTAAAGATAATTTTATGGTTTGAGAAACGTCAACATTAGTCCAATTTTAAATACAGCTAAAACGGAGTAAACAAACACTGTGCAAAACAGTTCTATGACTTAATTTTGATTTACCTGGTATACATTTTTCAATCTGTTTCCCTAATTTTGAGAATGTTTTTAGTCTAAGATTATGATTTCAGTTAGATAAATAGAATAGATCTATAGATACTATTATAGTTTTTATTTATATTTTAATTTTTTTTATATATACATTCTGTAGTAATTTTAGTTAATGTACTGTTATTGTATTTATGTCATTTTTATTCGGGTTTTTTTAAATGTCTATATACCTGTATTAGTTTTTCCTTCAGTTTTAGTTGTTTTAGTACATCAAGTTAAACAAAATGAAAATGAGAAGTCTTGCCTTGGAAACTAGCTGAAATTAAATATGATATATTTTTATATTGCATTTTATTTTTTTATGGTTTTAGTTAACTATAATAACCCTGGCTGTGATAAATACAAAATTTTGCCTTTGCATGACTGCATAGATAGATAGATAGATAGATAGATAGATAGATAGATAGATAGATAGATAGATAGATAGATAGATAGATAGATAGATAGATAGATAGATAGATAGATAGATAGATAGATAGATAGATAGATGTGAACACAGTCAACACACAGAATGGCATTAAATGTGGTCTTGCTGAATCACTGTTTCCTTTTGTCTCAGTCAGTCAGAGTGCAGTCGGTCCAACCCATAATTGTGCCTGCTGCCATCCATCTACTGGTGACTAAATGCAGCACGAACCTCCAGACCTAATAATGTCAGTGCAGCTCCTCTGACTGACTGTACGGTCCGAAAACGTTGACGTAAGCTTTCTCACTGTGCTGAGACATTGCCTCCTCTTCTGGTACCATAATCAACTCACTCTTATCGACAAGACGCTCACACCAAAACAGACACAAACTGTAAAGAGCAGGTTCACTTACCTAAACTTTCAGTCGTTCCTGCACGAAGATATTCTGCGAGACGCGTTCACATGGTCTCTTTCTTCACGCTTCGTTAACAGCTGAAGGAGCGAGCGTGCACGGTTTATTTGAAGCAGGAGGAATGGTGTGTTCAGTGTCTCAGTCTATGTTGGATTACATTCGAGACCGCGTGCTTTTGCTTTGCTCTTTGCTGATTGTGGCATTTCCAGCGCGCCTCCTCTAAATTGCTACATTGTTGACATTGGGGCGATGACGTCATGGCAATGCGCCCATAGTAAAGAGATAAAATATAGCACGAGCCATTCAGTTGTTCTACAATTTGTGAATCTAACTAACATCTTCACCATACCTGTAAATTAATCACCCTCTGAAGTGGCACATATACTGCGGATATGTGTATAACGCATTCGGCGAGCTAATGATTTCACAGATAATGGGATTTTGACACCTCATGCAGGCAGCATTGACTTAAAACACTCTAGAACACATTGCATTGTGACTTCCTTTAAAAAACAAAACTGTATTTTGCAACCTATTGTTTATTACATTATAATTATCACTCATTATAATTATTCGTCACAATTAATTATTAACAGTAATAATTAGTTTTATTGTTATTATCATCCTTATTTTAATTATTCATTTTATTTTATTTGTAATTTTTAAATTAATCTAATTCATTTAAATCCATTTTCCACCTTTTGCAAGAAAGTAAAACTGTCGCAGTAGCCTGATAAATCATTATTACCTGTATGTGTTGAACCACATGCACTCAGTCTGAGACAATAACATTGTATTCACGTTTTTAAAGAAAGTACAATTGTAAAAGCCTATATGGTAACAAAAAATGTGAAAGTTGAATTGCAACCACAGTTCAAGTTATTTAAATATTCAATTTGTATGGTGGTTGTATTTAGATTAGAGCAAGAGTAAGCATAACAGCATTTAATCTCACTGTACCCCAAAGGAGCTGGCAAGCAATTATATGAATTATCGGGTTGTTGCAGAGGGCTCTTGCTTCTCCTTTGATTCTGATCCAAACGAGCCATAATTTCACTGTTAGGTTAAAAAAAACTGTGACAGATTCTCAAAGGCGCAGAGTGGCACTGACATCAAAGTCAGAAAATGGAGACCTTAAGATGCTAAACATGCCTCAGCTCTGCATCCATCCTCACAAAGCATCAGTGGAACCTGTCAAAGTGTGCATGGTGCACTTGGGAAATGATTGCTTTGTTTGAGTCACTGAAGTAATTTCAAACACCAGGGATTGATTGTGATTTCTACAGCAGCTCAGTATTGATGTTGGAGTATATACAGTCTAAAATCTACATCCAATAAGCTAGATTTAAAAGTGTAAATTGTGAATGAATGTATTGTGCCTTTAATTGTGCCTCTATCTTTTTAATTGTTAGCCACATTTTATTTAATTTAATTGAAGCAATCTTGTGAAAATTCACAAGAAGATAGTGCATTTACACATTATGATGTCTATGTGTACATTATGAACAAATCAATTTTCATCCAAACAATCAGATAGGCTAACTGAACAAACACAATGAGCTTAAAGGGATAGTTCACCAGAAAAAGAAATTTCTGTCAGCATTTACTCATCCTCATCCAAACCTGTGAGTTTAAGAGATATTGTAAAGAATGTTGGTAACCAGACAGTTGGCGTTAAGCCATTTCTTAACAACAAAAGAAAGAAATTCATACAGGTTTGAAACAACTTGAGGGTGAGTAAACGAGGACAGAATATTAATTTTTGGGTGAACTATCCCTTTAAATGCAGCCTCGTTGTTACTTCAGTTTACCCACTTTATTTTAATGCAAACAGCGCCCCCTCATGGCTACGATTGAAAATGCGATTAGCTCGAAATTTCAAACCAAAATATCAATTTTAAAAAAATCTTCTGTTTAGGGCTAAAACCACATTCACTACTTGAATAATACATTTCATATTAGCCTACCTTTAAGTTTCAAAAGGACTTATTTGGCACATTTTTATTTTGAAAACGCGAAACACCGGTAGAGGAAAGGAAATGTGAACTTAGCTGATCCAAACTGAAACAGACAAGCGAGTGAGTGAGACGATGAATTTCTATCAACCTTCGTCTGACAGCTGCCATTGCAATCCGGGTTGATTTTCACCGCTCTCCGTCCAACGAATTTACGAATGCTACTATGGAGAAGACTTAGCTCATGAATATTAATCAGGCATCGTGACTGGCCTTTCGCCAAGGAACGTGAACGCTAGCTAATTATTATTCATGAGTTTAGTCTTCTCCATAGTAGGAGCATAGACTGTAAAAAAAATCATCTCCCGTCCAGTAGATTGCAGTATAACTCGCTTGTATCTACATTTGCCGAATAAACAGGACAGAAGAAAATACTGTTCACTGATACTTCCGTATTAGATTAAAGCGTTAGATATGCTCTGTTCACAAGATGTGTCATTTGATGTCTGTCAAGAGAGGTATGACGCTGCATATTTTCAAAATGTAATTATTATAAAACATGTGATTGTGTGTTTCAGTCTTAGTTACACATGTGCCAGGGTGAAATAAATGCTGTCTATTATATTTTTTGTCTTCACTGGTTGCAGTTTTAGGTCTAAAAATATTAATTGTTTGTAACGAAACAAATTGTTGATTTCTTTTAATTATGGAAAACGTGTTATGTTGATTATTTTGGTAGGTTAACCATTTAAAAGCAACAATGTCCATGCATTTTCAGCATACTAATATTGTCTGTAGTATGTTTAAATTAATACAGTGATTTTCACAAATGCTGTTACATGAAATCAATGTAGGAATGACCTATACATTAATAGACAAAACATTCCCCGTCTATCTGCATAGGTTAAAAAGTTAATGATTATAGTATAGTCAAAGGAAGTTGTGCAATTAAGTGTACAAGATGCCTTGATATGACCTACTGCCTTATTGCAGAATGAATGAATGAATGAATAATGAATAGTTTCATTTAATGAAAGAATGAGTTTCATTTAAAGTTATTTATTTATTAATTAATATAATAATTGTATTTCATTATTTATTTATAATTATATAAATAATTAAAAACATATGATCTTTTTATTCCCCCCGCCCCCCCCCCCCCCCCCCCCCTGTTTTCAGCAGAAGCTTAAAGATGAAGAATGAACCTTGAAAGTTTCGCTTAACATATTTGTTCCACCATTGACTGAACATCTTCGGGGGAATGGACTTTAACCGACCTCCAGGGTAATGGCACGGTTTAGGCGTAAATCATGTTGTGCACTTATCGCTTTAGCCTTGGTCGTGTTTATAATAACAGTTATCTTAAAGTCTCTGAGCCCTGAGGATAACAATTTTGGCAGTCAGTTTACATTAAGACTTATTCCACCTCCAAGAGAAATGGAAAAAGATACCAATGTTGTTGTATCCGCTAAACCTGCGCAGATGATACAGGCAGAGAAACCCGATAGCCTGGAGAACAAAATGCAAGATTTCCCTGAACCAAATTACAATGTGCAAGATTTCCCTGAACCAAATTACAATGTGCACGCTTTCTACTATGTATGGTATGGGAACCCTCAGTTTGATGGAAAGTATGTTCACTGGGATCATCAACTCTTACCACACTGGGACCCCAAAGTGGCCTCAGGTTATCCCACAGGACAACACCAGCCTCCAAATGACATCGGGGCAAATTTCTACCCTGCACTGGGTCCATACAGCTCCAGAGACCCATCAGTTTTAGAGGAACACATGCGACAGCTCCGAACAGCTGCTGTTGGTGAGAAGCCTCTTTGAAATATGTATTATGATTACTTATTACAGTTGCTCCATCCATCTACTGAATATGCTTTGCTTATTTCAGGTGTTCTAGCGGTTTCGTGGTATCCACGTAGTATGAACGACGACAATGGTGAAGAAATTGATACCTTGCTGCCTTTGATTCTGGATGCAGCTGACAAATATCAGTTGAAGGTGTTGTAGATACAGATGAAGGTTTGAGATTCATAGTCTTGCTTTTGCTTTTGTGTCTAATGCTTTTTTGTGTGTGTCCCTAACAGGTTGTTTTTCACATTGAACCATATAAAGGACGAGATGATGCTAATATGCGTGAAAATATTAAATATATTGTGGAGAGGTACGTTTGATGTCTTTTATACAGCTCTCACTATTCATTTACTTAAAAAAACATTAATAAAAAGAACATTTTTAATTTCTTAACATTAGTTAAATGTGTTGAGTATCAGCTTACAATGAAAATACTTTAGTAACATTTATAAATCTAGGTTAATATAAATGTTTACATTTGGGTCAATGACAAATAAAGCTTAAAAAATGTGTGATTCATTAAAACATATTATATCAAAATTGATGTAATGTGTATATTTGAGTTGGGAACAATGTGTTTAAACAAGTTTTAAGTGTAAAATAACATTTCAAAGTGTTTAAATTCATTTTTTGACTTTTTTGTCAGGTGGTAAAACCATATATTTGTAAATATATTCCTAATTTTATGAATGAAATCTTAGCAACAAAAAAAAACTCATTAGAGTGGTTGCACTGCCTAACACATTATTATCTTGTAGTTGTGTATTTTATTTATTAATTTATTATTATTGGATACTAGTGGCCAGGTATTTACTATATTTAGACAAATAATCATACAAGGATATCAGTAAATGCATTCAGTACAATAACTATTCACAATCTTGTTTTGAGCCCTTTGTTCAATTTGACCTGTAATTTGTTGGTTTAGTTGTAACACCTGATGTACTATATCAGTTATTCACAGGGAATATGCTGAATACTGGATTTTTTTTCATTTCAGTTACATATTAAAAGTAAAATACAAATACAAATGTTTTAATCTAAAGTCACCTTTGAAGTAAAATTAGTAAATTGATCAAAAACAGAATAAATATGTGACATGACGTTCGGAAAGTAAGAACTGGAATAGGCTACAGTGCAATAGATTGTTTTATATTGATACAAGTCAGTTGAGAATTATAAATTAAAATATAAAAATGCATTCATCAAAATGTTTAAAACATTAAATGTAAAGCAACTTTAATGAAACACTGTAGTTGCAAGATATGCTTCTCTTGTAGCTGGATCATTTTTAATGCGCTCCCTGTGTCATGCTGAGTTTTCAATCTACGACTTTTTTGGTGCAAGGCAAGGGTGGGACAACCTGTCACTCATATAACATCACAGCAATAGCAAACCACAACCATTCAATGACCCAATCAATTCCCGATGGAGTCACACTCTACAATTTTTCTTTTTCATAAAGCCATTTCACTCAAATATACATCACAATAAGGAAGAAAAGGCAATCACAACTTCCATCGCATGCTGACTTTAAAGTAGAACGATTGTTTTTTGCTATCATTGATGAATGATCAATGTACAGATTTGTGTTTAATAACACGTATATATTGCATTTTACAGGTATGGAAACCATCCTGCTTTTTATAGATACAAAACAAGCACTGGCAAATTTCTTCCACTGTATTATATATATGACTCCTACTTACAAACTCCAGATGTTTGGGCAGAACTGCTTAAGCCGAATGGCATATCGACCATTAGGGACACACCGTTTGATGGCATCTTCATTGCTCTTCTTGTGGAAGAAAAGCATAAGAAGGACATACAGACTGCTGGATTTGATGGACTCTACACGTATTTTGCAACCAATGGCTTTACGTATGGTTCCTCACATCACAACTGGAGATCCATCAAAACCTTCTGTGATTATAATGACTTGGTATTCATTCCAAGTATAGGGCCAGGTTATATCGACACCAGCATAAGGCCTTGGAACTCCCAGAATACAAGGAACCGCATTAATGGGAAGTATTATGAGAACGCTTTTAATGCGGCTGTGGAGGCAAGGCCACAGATGATCTCTATAACTTCTTTCAATGAATGGCATGAAGGAACTCAAATTGAAAAGGCCATCCCCAAGACATGGGGTAAAACTGTATATCTTGACTACCTTCCTCATAAACCTACAGTTTATTTAGAGTTAACACAAAAATGGGCAAAAAAATTCAGCGAGGAGCAGAAAAAATGGCTGGAGTAAAGAGAAGTTATTTACTTCATAGTTAATCCTGAAAAAGCAAATATTGCCCTAAGTAGTGCTTACTAAGGCCATGGTTTGATTAATTTTTTTGAATTAATTTTGTTTGAGTTTTACAGTTTGTTTTTCTTTGCATGCCTTTTACCACTCTATATGACAACTTGACTGATTAAACTCATCAAATATTAATGAAAAATTGCAATCAGAGATGTTCTGCCTGGAGGCTGTAAATAACAGTCCTGCTTTATACTAGACGTTTTTAACCACTCTGTACTCAGCTTAAAATTGAAATGGATTACATTTATTTGGAAATATGCATTTTAAACTGGAGTTCTGTGACCGTCTTTCTCAGAACAACCCAATAAGTGTGTGTACACTGTCAAATGCTTTACATTTTAACGTAAGTGCATTAAACGCACCTAATATAAAGCGTGACCAAAATAATTGCCTGTGGTTGTCATGGAATGACAATTAATGGATTAATTTATTGTTATATTAATGAAAGTTATTAAATGAACAATAAATTATTTCAAATAAAATCAGTGTTGCTCATTTTCATACAACATATGCATATATTTATCAGTAGTTTTAAGATTTTTCTGTGCATTGATATGGATTCAAACAGTAACGAGGAATATAAAATATATTTACTGAATTGTTTCTCTTGAACAATTGCTGCCTCAATACTTAGTGCCTAATTGGGCCACAATTAGTTTAGTTTAAGCATTTGTTTGACTTATTGTGTTACGTCCTACACAAATCTAGGGGACTTGAGCAGACCCATTTAAAGAGCTAGTCTGAGCCCTGCCACAGCATCACAAACAACCAGTTCACTTTTAAGAGTTTTATTTCAGCTTGTGACAAATGAAAGTTTACACACAACAACTAGGCAATGGCTTCAGGAGGGGATAATGCCAAAATAAACAAAAATGGTTCTGCCTTGGAAGTAAACCATAACTAAGCATCTCAAAGAAAAACAAATCAACAACAGACATGTACTCTTACTCCCTAGCCACAAACCAGAAGAAAACAGAGAGATGCAACAAAAATGGCCCCCATTTCAAAGCTTCCAAAACGAAGGAAAATGAAACAAACAATCAAGAGGGCAACTGCTTAAAAGGCGAAAGCATTACCAAAATGCAAACAGTAAAGCAATAGTGCTTTTAGATAATAGAGTAATGCAAACAGTCATACACAACCACAGGAGTGCACAATAGCTTAAACAAACTGGGCTGTGCAGAGCACAGATCATACTCAAGAAAAGGTTTCTCTTTGACAGAGTTCTGCCCTGTTTTTATGTTGCTTCCCTCGTGGTTGGCAAGCAGGTGAAGCTGGGGCAGCAATCAGGGTTCCTGGAAAAGCAGGAGACACAAAACAACAACAAATGGAAGAAAACATACCACAGTACACCATTCAGTTAACACTGTCACAAGTTTGTATTGTTGTCAAAGAACTAAGTAAATAACTCACCTGCAACAATAACAACAATAACAACAACAAAAAAACGTCTCTGGAAGTAACACCCCCTCCCATAAGTTACAAACATGACCCCTAAAAATGTTTGTTAAGTCACAAATTAGATTTCAACAACATGGGTTAACAACAAACTTAAACCACTTACTACAGTATACTCACTTTTAACACATTTTGGAGTACCCTTCCCTTGGTATGCTGGCTGTCAAGGCTGTAGGCCAACTCAGGTAACCAAAGACCAATGTATAGACAAATGAGCATAGTAGTACCATAACGACTCACAGCAGGGTTCTTGAAATGCACTTTGGACACTTGGTCTTTACTTACAACCGATTTGTGCTTCAAAAGAACACGCACAGTAAACAACCCTGCTAAGATGTACGACAGGGGCAAAATATAAATTGAAGATAAATGGTTCATACCCAGAACTCTTAGAATGGATGAAATTTCAGGGAAAGAGACAACCTGAGGAAAAGCCATTTAGGCCTACTTTGCAGCCATAATTCGTTTCCAAGCTTTACAGTCTGAAATTGGGTGACCTGAATCCAAGCAGTATAGAAACAAACTCTGGCAACAGACTTACTATCTGTTCTTTTCAAAAGGAGCAAACTTCCCTTTCTGACTTTCTATGCCTGCAGACTGATGTTTAGACTCACATGAAGATGCGAAAACTGTTTTGTGGGTAAGTACAAACTCATCTGCCATCACTGCAGCTTCAGAGAGTATGTTTACCTTTTGCTCATTCAAATGAACAGCTACTGTATGTTCTCAGGTGCACATTTTCAAACTTTTCTAGTAAGATGAGCTCTTGCAACTGCTCAAGGCTTGTGACCCCATAGAGAGACACCACTTCTCAAAACATGTTTTCTCCTCTTGAGCAAACTACGTACGTTTGATTGGCTGCTTTCATTAAAGCATTCATTAAAGCATTCGAAAGCATTGGTGATAAGCTTCAGGCAATGATTCGTAAGCTCTCAACACTGCCGCTTTGAAGATCTCATAATCAAGAGACTCTTCAGTTGGAAGTGCAGAACACACCTCTTGCGCCTTACCATGAAAATGACATTGTAGGAGCAGCGCCCACATGTCCTTCGGCCACCCTAATTTAGCAGCGATGCGTTCAAAGTGTGAGTCTGTCTCAGCCTCTCTAAAGGGCGGAACAAGTTTTATATATTTTGTAACAAAGATAGGCTGGTTATCACTTACGGTTCAAAGTTAACAGTGCTAGATTGTGACTGTGTGTCACCAAACATAGGTAAAGAGGGAGCTCTAGAACATGGTAGTTCTGGAGGCTTTCTGTGCAAAGAGACTTAGCTTCAAACTCAAGCATTTTCAGCTTAATGTCTCTCAGAGCCTCCACTTCAACGGTACAGAGTTGTACTATTTTAATCTTGTGCTATTTTCTTTTTAATTTGCTTTACAATTTTGTTTCCGATTGCTGGTGGACTAATTGGTGGTTAAAAACTGCCTTCTCGGAACAACACTCGACCCTCATCAAGATCTGTTTACTATTGTCAAACGAAGTATCAATCCTCATCAGAGACATAAATAAGCATGGGAATAATATTATTTGGACTATGGGTGTATCCTTTAGTAACTTTATTTGGTAACATTATTATTGCTAACTGTTTGTATTTTAGTATGTAATTTAAATGCATATCATTTTCAGTGTATTTCACCTGTGCGTTTCTATGCTTTCTATTACTGCATTTATTTTGTGCAAGTGAGATGAGTAAAGAGCATCTGTTTCATAAATCATTATCTGTCTGGTGTTTATAAGCAGCACATATAGTATTTTACTACGTGTAAAATATACACAAACTTAATTGTTATTTTACAGATTTTACTGTTGACGATTTGACATGATCCAGGATTGTTAGGTTCTTCAAAGCTCATCCCGGAGTTGCTGTCATAGCAACAGGTCTTTAAGCTCAACCCGGTTCTTGAGCTGGCTTAATTCATGTAAGCAGGATCAGATTGCATCTTTTTAAGTGGAGGTGATACTTAAAGTCTGTCGCAGCCACTGCTACTTTCTTACAAAAGTACCTTATTGAACCAGGAACAAAAATTATTTAAAATAATAATAATGATAATCATTTTAAAACTAATTTTAAAATAATTTTATAATGTTGTGTAGTCTATCATAATATAGACACAGTTTTATTCACTGAGAAATTAATTTTTGAGGGAATAAATACCTAATAATTGTATTGGAGTCTTACACACATGATGTACAGTTAGTCTAAGCCGTGCATTAATTTAAACAGTGACAACTACTAGTGGCTTGACGCAGCGCAGGAGATGCAGAGAACTTAATAAAAGCATCCTGTCTGCTGTGCCATATAGAAAAATGACCCATAAGTAACTTTAATTAACGCTGTCAAGTAACAAATCTGCTTCACGGGTAAAATTAAATGAATTGCTAATTACAACACTGAAATAAAAAGTGTAAATCCTGTACAAATAATCGTGAAATAATAGAAATAATCGGGAATCATGTAGCAAACATTTTATCAATCTATTATAACTTTTATGTTTTTTTCGTTGCTTGGCGACTTATAAAAGCCTAGAAATGTTTTTTGTCTGGAGTGTGATGTTCTTTTTTAATATGTCATTATGTTGCAGCATTGCTGATCTCGAATATCGATATATCTGCCCTTTCCAATGAACACAAGAAAGCGCTGTAATCTCAGGCTGCGAAGGTCTGACTGATACAATTCAGAGGCTGCATCCTTCGAAGGCCACACCTTAAAATAAATAAACTTTTCTTGTCGCCAACTGTGACAGCTGTTTTTTTTGCGCATTTTGAAGTAGCACATCAGAAACGAGTGATGGAAACGGCACATTTTGTAAAAAAAAAATTCTGCAAAAAAGTAAAGAAATAAAATAAAATAAAAAAAGTTTTCAAGCTCACTTGAAGTGGTTTTTGACACAGTAAATGCGAATAATGGGAGATGGAAACACATTTGCCAAATAAATTCTGACGTATAGTGAACATTAAACCCACTTGACTGATCGGCTGTTTCCTCACGATAGGAATTCCGGCTCTCTTTAGGGAGCCGAACCGGATCATTTGGCTCAGCTCAGTAGGCTAATAAGGCTTTGTTTTCTGACCAGATATTAAGGATGATCTTTTCGCCACACTGCTCGACCACACACACTCCATGCATTTTCCGCTGATGATATTTTATTTACTGTTGGTAACTAGGTTACCAATACCACTGCTCGAACAAATGGAAACGCACCTAATTCGTTTTTTTTTTTTTTTTTGCGAACTTTAAAAAGATTCTCTTCACGTTTGGATGGAAACCCAGCTACTGAGGGACAGTAACGTTTGTCTTTGACTTATTTAATTAAAAGTTATATTTAACTGTCTGAAAACAAAACAGCTGGTTCACAAACTGTCTAAATATGTTCACCATGGTCCATTTCTGTATAATAAAGAGTATAAACTATATATAATCGCATCTTAGTAAGATCTGTCAACATTTGAACCACTTTAAGTTTTTTTTTATTAGAAATTTGAGTAAGTTGAAACCCAATACTTGCATTTAAAAGTGTAATTCGGCAATTTCTATCAAAGAAATCCTGTTGACACTGGCGCACAATGAATTCTGGGGTATAGGCAAGGCCGCGATGGATCTACCTGTTGTACCCTTCATTTTACGGGCAACGAAGAACGTATAGGGAGGCCGCATTTAAAGCAGCCTTCGAATTGGGACAGCCTTCATCGTGCCGCGGTGACGCAATCGACCTTTGAATGCGGCCATCGAAGGATGCAGCCTCTGAATTGGGATGCAGCTTCAGACAACTTAATCCAGATATTTTAATCAAATCCGCAAATTCGTTTGAAGAACCAAATTAGCTAGAGATCAGTTATCACGATTAGAAGACGCAAATGATTAGAAGACACGATTGTTACATCCAGAGACGTTGCGGGTGAGTTATCGACTTTTTTACAAGTTTGTATTATTGTTGTCAAAGAACTGTGATGGGGTCCATTCCTCTTACCACATCTGAGAGGAATGGACCCCAGTTATCACAGTTCTTTGACAACAATAAAACAAACTTGTAAAAAAGTGGATAACTCACCCTCAACGTCTCTGGGTGTAACACATGCCTTTTTACTCCTTTATGAAAACCTGATTTATTAAACTCATCAAATTCCATTTAGAGATAATCTGACTGAAAGCTTTAAATAAATGAATTGCCTGTGGACATCCTTTGCTCAATTAATTGATCGTGTAATTGCTTTATCTATCTATCAATGCTATTAATCAAATGAACCTGTTTTTAAGACAATACAATATTAAATTAAGTCGATCCACGTGTTTTTAAAAGTTTTTAAATGATTAAATGCAAATGCATTTATTTATTGGCTAAAACACTGCTGATTGGAATACGGCAATGATGAACAAAGGAATAATTCTTGACTACATAAATCATCCAGTCTAACGCCACTGTTGCATATTTCATTTCCCATCTAATTTCTTTGCATTCCTGCATTAGCATGTATTAACTCCACATGCACGCGCATGCACGCGCGTGCACATGCACACACTCTAAATCTATAATTGCATGCATGCATATGAACAGCACGGACACTGGAAAGGTATGTGCATGTGGGGAGGGCGACATTATTCTACATCACATCACACGGCGTTACATGGCGTCTTTTCCAGCGACGCACTTGCTCGCACTCTCCGTTTGTGACCCATAGGATCGAACGTGTTTTGTCTCGCACGCGCTGATTAGAGTCTGTCATCATTGCGGACACATTGCAATATGCAGTGATGCACTGACGCGAAGGCTATGGGTTCAGGTGCATCGTATCCAAATATTGCCTTCATCGGAGATTTTTCAGCACCATTCCGATATGCGAAGCGCGTGGGATGTAAATAAAAGAAGCGCATGATGTGGCTTTCCCTCGAGGATGATTGCTGATGGAGAGGTGAGACAAACGATTTTGCCGATATGAAGGTTACCTGTTTGCTTTGCATATATTGCACGACACGAGTAGATGCTTTAAATATCACGCACTGCGTGCACCATCATTTTTTCATTCATCTCTTTGGGGATTTTGAATTATAATAATTAAACAAGGCACGAGCGCAGGGACATTCATGCTCATGGGATGCTTCATACGTCCTTTTTGGATGCGGGTTTGCTTAAAATAGACAAAGAACTCGAGATGCTAGAGAGAGAGAGAGAGAGAGAGAGAGAGCGCGTGTCACATTTAAAGAATAGCCATATTTCGTGTAGTAATATGTCAGATGTGACAGTCTGCTTTAAGATGACCTTCAGCATCACTGGTGAATAAAGCACATCACCTTGCACGGTAACACATTCATTTATGTTGTTATGAACAGCAGAAGCACGATTTTAGATGAGTGTTCATTAAATAGCCTGTATAACATCATGTCACTGATGGGATAGACACGAATTCCCAAATCCTACTAAATAAACTATACACTAACGGTTTATATTTAATGGTTTCGCATCTTCATGTCCTTCATCCACATTTTCTATTTATTAGACGTGAACACTCAAGCCTATACCAGCGTGCAACTCTGTGTCCCAAATACATCACAATACATTTAAAACGAATGCCTTTCTTTTTCAAAGACTCCCAGAGAAACACAAACATGCAACCTCGTTGCTCTATGTTTACTTTAACAGGATCATGCAGCATATGTGTATTGTTGGCCAAAAATATGTAAATGTGTAATAGTTAGCAGTTAGGAAATATGCCAAACACTTTGTTAATTAACCCCCCCCCCCCCCCCCCCCCCCCCCCAAGGGTCTTTAAACAGCTGATTATTGCCCAATGTTTTTTTTAACCTTTAGAAATATATCATGCATTAGCAATAATTACATTCTGTTATGAACTGGATGTGACACGTGTATAATCTCCCTGCAGCCTTTTGCTTTTGCTGTGATATAATATGATTGAGTCACAAATGCACTGATAAACCTTTTAAACAGCTGTTATGTCCACATGTGGATTTATGGTAAATGGACACTGCAGAGATGAATCGAAGCTCATTTCTCAACCGCAGTATATAGTCTAGTGTAAAACCCCACAGCTGAAATGCATTGAGTAGAAATATGTGTTAGATATAGGAAATGTCTCACGAACTGGACACTGACATATATAAGAATCCTAAATCATTTTATTATAAAATGTCATTTTCATTGTTAATAGTCTAAGTTAATAGTCAGATATGTGACTCATCAGTTCGTTCATTGATTTCTTTAATTATGTTAGAGATTTTAAAAAGATCTGACACAAGTTAAATAGAACAGGATGCTATTAGTGGAAGCGTGAAGATTTGTTTATTGGCAGATTTCACAGCCCTTGTGAAATTACAGCTAATTGAGTTGTTTATTCTGTTCATTGAAGTTTACTGACTTAAGTTAATTGAATGTTAATTCGCTTTTAATTGTGTATTCTGATACTACTGGTTTTAAATACCCTTGAGTTGAAGACGTTGGTTCATTTTTGAAGAATGTGCAATGTAAAATGTACTGGGCAGTTTTAAGGAACACCTTTAGCAGTATGGGAATGTAGGACATTGGAAAAAAAATAAAAAAAAGAATAATTATGATTTCTGTAAACAAAATCTAGTGTTTCCAGATCCTAAAACTGTTAGCTTATTTTAACATCCTGCTACTGTCAATATTTTGTGTAAATAGGCCTTTTGGTTCTATTATCTCTTGACATCCTGAAGATGGCAGTGTTCCCATGTGTAAAACGTATTGTCTGGATGTTCTTTGTAATAATCCAGAATTATTTTTGAGGATTGGATTGGTACAGGGCCACAGTACCACCTGCATTTTGAACAGTGGTCAATAAATATAGAGTTTCCTATTCTTAAACTTTCACATTTGGTTCCCCTAATATACAATGTTTGGTTACACCACTTCTATACCAAGTGTTTTGATTGTATAGTGATGTAATCCATTTTCTGTCTTTTTCCCTCATGAGAAGACCTATGGTTTTAAGACTGACATTCTTCTGGTAGTAAAAAGAAGAGCCTGGAACATAATATAACAACATAATCATTTTACCTACTGGATATCAGCGAATCTGTCAGGTGAATTTTTAAGATTATTTACTTTGAATATATATTTTTCAGTGCTTGTAATTAGCTGACTTTGTCATGATGATAAATATATATTAATCATGTATTTTCTTTCCAACGTAATTGACTATTTCATGAACTATTATGGAACTGTTCCGTAAGTCTTAAAGTGGATCCCCACACATTCTAGTGAGTAAACCAGACAGTATTTTAATATCTGAAGTGTCCTTGTACAGTTTTACAACGCAAACGTCCTAGACATTTAAGTGCTTATTTAGTAGAGGATGTTTCTTGCTTATGAATTATGTCTTCATTACAGTAGCATACATATGATCAGCTGACAGACAAGGCACAACATATGTATTGCAAATGTCAAAGTTCTCGTTCTGAAATATGAATAGATTTAAATGCTTTTTTAAAGTATGCGCAAATTAATTCACCTTGTACAGTCATTCAGTGTAGTTATGTAATTGTTATGTGTTAGATCATATTTTTATTAGTAGGCTACAGTAACTTACTGTACATGATATTTTTCCATTTTGTAAAGAGTTAACATGCAGCATGTATTGAAAGCAGTTAATATAACAACTTAAATGCTGGGAAAATTGGAAGTCAATATGTCTAAAAACACTTAATTCCTATGCAAACTGGCTTAGTTAGTAGTAAAAAAAAAGCCAGACAATTTAGTATATATAATATAATATAATACTAATAATAGCTTCACATTATTCAGAGAAATAACACTGGCTGTTTCCAAGCATTTATACTGTTGCTCCGAGCAAGATAATGCATGGTATAGGACCTTGAATTATAATGCAATATATTAATATTTATATATTCTACATTATTATTCACATACAGGAATAGGATATATATTTTTTGTTACCAATCACCTGTTTTGGCAGGGTGCAGTTGTCAAACCAATCGTGCAAAGTAATAATTAATTTACAGAAATATATCCTGTGGGACTAATGCTTTGCACGCGGGGTCACTTTAGGTCAAAGAATCGTCTGCCAGTGGTGGACGGGAATACTAATAGGTTGCTGGAACACTACCGGTTGCTGACAGTTTTAGAGTTAGAAAATATTTAACAGCAGTCTCAGGATATTCAAATGTATTAATTTAGCTCGAGACGGCACAATGCAGTTCATTAACGCTTTATTTGTCTGATAGAATGTGCTGAATCTAAAAGAAATGACTTTAAAATCAAACTAGACTGCTGTCTCATATAATGACCCATAACCTTTTCTTTTCTTTTTTTTTTGCCTTCCCACCATTACCCGTTTCCTGTTTAAAGGCCAGAGTATGCCATCTACACCAACTTACAGAATCCTACGACCCCTCCTGCTTGGTATCTTTTTATTGGGATGCTTTGTGACTCTGTTTTTAATGTACATCAAACCATCTACGAGCTGGTTGTCAGGCCCCGTCGAGTCGGAAACATCCACAGCCCGAGTCAAAAGCCTCCTTTCCAGCAGAAGTGATCAGAACCAGACCACCATCCTGGTCTGGCTTTGGCCTTTTGGAGAAACCTACGACCTGAACGTCTGCAGCTCTTTGTTCAGTATCGATGGATGCTTCATCACCGCCGACCGAAACCTTTACAACAAATCCGACGCGGTCGTCATACATCACAGGGACATCACCAGCGACCTCTCCAACATGCCGCCGGCGTATCGGCCCACGTTGCAGAGATGGATTTGGATGAACTTCGAGTCACCGTCACATTCATCTCAGTTACCTGGAATTGAAAACTTGTTTAATATAACTCTAAACTATCGGCAGGATGCCGATATAGAAGTGCCTTATGGATCGATTGTCGCAGCCCAAGGAGAGGAGGACTTTGTGCCGCCAAGCAAGAACAAGCTCATTTGCTGGATCGTCAGCAATTGGAACCCAGATCACGTCAGAGTGAAATACTACAATGAATTGTACAAGCACATCGAGGTTCATGCATACGGACAGGCTTTTGGTGAGTACATTTCCGACCAGGACTATTTCCCCACAATTGCCAGCTGTAAATTTTATTTGGCATTCGAGAACTCGATTCACAAAGACTACATCACTGAGAAATTGTACAACCCACTTTCCGTCGGCACCGTACCTGTGGTGCTCGGGCCACCAAGGGAGAACTATCAGAACTTCGTGCAGGGAAACGCTTTCATCCACGTCGACGACTTTCCGTCTCCGAAGGAGCTGGCTGATTACCTCCTGTTTCTTGACAAAAACGAGGAGCTTTACCTGAAGTACTTTGACTGGCGTAAACACTTTAAGGTGAAAAAGGCATACTTCTGGGCCGAGCACACGTGTCTGGCCTGCGATTACGTCAGAAGGCACAATGAGTACAAGGCAATTAACAATCTTGACAAATGGTATTGGGGTTAATCTGCACCTAAACCACTGGACCAGCTTAATGAAAGTTGCTTGACAATAAGAGCTTCGTGTAACTTAATTCAAATGAGGGTCTGTTGTGAGCAATTACAGACTTTTATTTTTGTAAACTGTCCCAAAGTAGTTGTACATTTACTTCGTGTTCAGTTTCATGCGTTTATTAACCTGGATGCAAATCATGCATTTTAGAGTTTAATGAGTACATATTTATTAGGAAAGCAGATTTTGACCAAAATTCACAAAATACATTTGAATGGATAGTTCGCCCAAAAATGATGGAAATCGTGCAGTTGACTAAGTTAGTATTTATTTGAAAAGAAACATATTTATTTTGAACAAATGCACAAAATCCATTTAAATGTCACCTACTTGTCGTTCCAAGCTTGTATGACTTTCTCTCTTCACAAAAGAAGATATTACCTAAGTGATATTTGTATGCAAATCATGCATTTTAGAGTTGAATAAATACGTTTATTTAGAAAGCTAATTTTGACCAAATTGCACTTAAAGGGATAGTTCACTCAATCATGATGCAAATCATGCATTTTAGAGTTGAATAATTACTGATTTATATGAAAAGGAACATTTATGTTGACCAAAATGTACAAAATCCATTTAAATGCCATCATTTAATCAACCTATTGTTGTTCCAAACCTGTATGACTTTCTTTTTAATGTGGAACACATAAGGAGATATCTTGTTGAGTGTTTTTGCCTATACATTGAAAGTCAGTGGGGTCCAAAACAACACACACTAAAGTTATTTTTCCAAAGTATCTTCTTTCGTGTTGATGAGGGAATTTTAATTTTTAAGTGAACTATCCCTTTAAATTTTTGCTGTTTTCATACATGACATCAAATAGGAAATCTGTTTATTTAATGAGAGCGGAGCACTTTCTGAAACTGAGATTTTTATGCTTCTTTTATATCATTGGTTATTGTGTAAATGTTAGTGCTAGAGACATCTATGCAGTGTTTACAGAACTTATGTTGTGCAAAATGTCTATGTACTGTAAATGTAATGTGTAGGCTATAGTATGTGTTTTAAGACAACCTGCCTTTTATTTCCATGGTTTTGGACGTTGTTTTGCGCACTCATATTTTACATGCTATGTTGGACACCATAGTGACCATCATGCACTTGCTACTGAAAAACAAACATGCCAGGAGTGCGTTATTGCTGATAATGTCTTACTGTACTGAATAACTGCTGATAATATCACTGTTAAGTAGCTTACATGGCTTCGATATGTGATACTGTTATGTATCAATGTGTACTGTAAAGTTTTGGTTTTAAAATATTTCAATGTTACTTTTGTTTAAAGTGAAGTGCTGAATTGAGAGCAGGAGGCTAATATACATAAAGTCATGTGTGGGTGGTGCCATATTCACAGAAATGAGAAGACCTTTTTCCAAGTGTTGCCAAATGAGTAGACGCACTTGATGTACGAGACAAACGAAATCATAATGTGAGAAGCATAATGACTCACTTTTCTAATTCTGAAGTTGCTTTAGTTGTATGCTTAGAGGATTTGTTTGTTGCCAAAGTTTTCTTTCAGAGATGCTTCTGATCTTTTATCTCTGGGATTTAAGTCATCGCATTTCTCAGATCGGCTTTCATTTCATGGTGAAGGACTGTTTTTGATGTGCTTACATGCATGTAGTCAGTCTAATATTAGATGAGGGTAAACGAACTCTATTATTGATCAATGAGAACATTTTCAACTGTGGATCACAGACTGTGCTGCTTATACTGTCACTGCAAAAAAAAATCATGTACTCAAATGCTATTTTGTCTTATTTCTAGTAAAATAAAATCTAAACTGCTTAAAACTAAATATTTTTCTCTGAGAGAAATATTTAATTTACTGTTTTTATGTTTGAAGGGATAGTTCATCGAATAATTCTGACATGAAATTATGAATTTTTCAATGAACTATCCCTTAAAACATAATCCTCACAAAATAATGTTTGATTTATTCACCTTTTTTTTTTTTTTTTTTTATATCCACTTAAAACAAGAAACAATGTGCCAACATATTTTTTTTCTTCTCATTTTAACCATAAACTTCTGTCAATTTTGCTAGATTCTTAAAGCAAAAAAGGTACATTTATTTTCATATACACATTTGCCAGATGCTTTTATCGAAAGCAAGGTATAAGTTTTATCCAAGGTATCGAACCTCTGGCCTTGGTGTTGCAAGTGCCATGCTTCACTGTTTGAGCTTCTGGAATGCATTTGGCAGATAATAAACTATATATTCTGTGAAAACAGAATGTTTTTAAGGATTTTTACTGGGAAATAAGACAAAAAAGTGGTTAGGAAATTGATTTTTGAACTGCTTATATGAAAAAGCACACTTTAATAGATATAAAAGGATGCCCGATTACTCACACATTTTGAATCACTTACATTCTTGTTTTTTTTTATGTCTGAAGCACACATGGTTGTGGGTTATGGTTGCTGTTGTGTTGCAGTTTGTGTCCAATTGAACATGAACAGTAACAGCATCATCAAATATTCCATGCCTGTTTTTTTTACTTTTGTATTCATGAAGTACCATCAGTTTTTGTTTGTTTTTTAAAAAGTGTGCTATTAACAATGTCCATCTGTATATTACTCAAATGTGCACACTTTAATGCGCCAGACTTTTTTTTTATATGAACTCTGAGGAAAACTGAGACGATGTGTAGTAACCAAGACAATATTACACATCTCAGATCAACGTTTGTCGAAGATAATTGGTTTGCCGTGAATGCTCTTTATGCATTGTAAATAGCCGGATTGTTGGACGATCTCAAACCTGTAGCGAATGCCTGAGGATGAAGCGCTGAAATGAGACAGACAAAGTAAGCTCTTTCTGAGCCTTTGCACCAAGGAAGAAAAGTCTCCTGCTGAAGACAAAGATGACAGTGTTATGGAGAGGCCATTTTCTGTCTCTAAAGCGGTTTTCACATTGAACATCCATATCGTTTTTTTGGGATTGGGAACTAGTCCTTTGAACACTGTTGGACTGGAAAACTTTAGCTAAAAGTTTCTCTCATTCTCAAGTGTGTGATTTATTGAAACGATGATAGTACAAAGATGTATTGTGACTAAAAATGTGAAATGTGAAATAAGAAAGACATGTTTATGGTTTCATCATGGTGTACAAAGTGAATCAGAGATTGCTTATTTTATTTACTTACTGACCATAGTTACTGACTTGTATTGATTTGTGGTCTCTCTCTCTCTCTCTCTCTCTCTCTCTCTCTCTCTCTCTCTCTCTCTCTCTCTCTCTCTCTCTCTCTCTCTCTCTCTCTCTCTCTCTCTCTCTCTCTCTCTCTCTCTCTCTCTCTCTATCTTTATCTCCCGTGCACAAGTGCTGGCTGTGAGCTCTTGGTACCCTTTAAAACAGCCTTTGCATTATGAGTGTGTTAGCGGTGTCTGACTCAGAGCTCCGGCTGACTCACACATGTAGGCTGGTCTCACTGACGCCGGCATGGAGTATGATATCTCCTCTATGCATTATGGACTCGAATGCGAAATGACCCACATTCCTATTGTGCTGAGGAACTCGAGGGTGTATAGAACTGTTCTTTGCAACGTTAATTGCCAAAACATTGTTATTTGCCAAATGATTTACTGTAGATGTCTGTTAGTAAAATAAAGAGACCGAAATAAAATTAAGTTCACAGAACATTTAGCTTCCCATTCTGATTTCAAGCGTGAAAAAAATTATACAAATAGTTCAACCAAAAATTATTTACTCACCCATATATTGTTGAAAACAATTGTTGTATGCCTTATATTTTTCCAAAAGGTTAATTGTGACCACATCTGTCAAGCTAACAAACAATAAAATACCATAAAGGTAGTCTGATCTGATGGCTTATAAAGTGACATATAGTCTTATGATAAATTTGGGCAAGGAACAGACCAAAATGAAGTTGTTATTTTTTGATAATCTTTTAGCTGAAGCTCTAAAATCTGTGTATAAAACTGAAAATTAAGTCACGAGTTGATTTGCCCATAGTTGTAATCAAAATTATTCAACCCCCATTGCAAATCAGGTTTATTGGCAAAATTGACAGACTTTCAGCTGTTTGCAATGAACAAATCAAACAAAATTAATTGAAATAGCTCAACAAAAATGTTTCAAATGGTTTTCCCAAATTCAACTGAAAATGCAACTTTTAATGACTTCTGCAGGCTTAAAATTATTCAACGCCTTAATGGCAAGCATCTTTAGTATTTAGTAGAACACCTTTTGCTGTTATGACCTGCTGTAAACAAGATGTATAACCAGACACCAGCTTCTGGCAGCGTTTCTGATGAATCTTAGCCCATTCCTCATGAGCAATGGCCTCCAATTCAGTAATATTCTTGGGTTTGCTTGATGCAACCGCCTTCTTCAAAACCCACCAGAGATTTTCTATGGGGTTCAAGTCAGGTGACTGTGATGGCCACTGTAGAATCTTCCAGGACTTCTTCTGCAACCAAGCAGAAGGTATTCTTGGGATCATTGTCCTGTTGGAAAGTCCAATGAAGCTCAAGCTTTAGCTTTCTCGCTGAAGGCATTTCGTTTTTCCTAGGATTTCCTGATACTTCAATGAATCCATCTTGCCTTCCACACGCTGCAGGTTTCCAGTGCCAGAGGATGCAAAGCAGCCCCAGAGCATCACAGAGGCACCATGCTTAACTGTAGGCAGAGTGTTCTTTTCAGCATATGCTTCATTCTTCTTCCTCCAGACATACCGCTGATCTACAGGGCCAAAAATTTCCAGTTTTGTTTCATATGCACAACTTGAGTTTTGTCTGTGTTTGAAGACATATCAGGGTGTTTGCAAATGAACTAATTTTGTTAAGTGAAGTGAACTTCAACAGATATGCCGTGCTCAGGGAGTAGGGAGCAGTGAACACTGCATAGGGACCCTGTCAATCGGGACAAACCTGATTTCTCCTCTAATGAGCTGATAAGAGAGACATACAATCTGTGTAGAGCGGGAAGGCGCGAGGACTGGAATTGGGAACCCCTGGACTAGGAGATAAAGGATCCAACTGAGATATGAAAGCTTTAGCATAAGTTCTGCCAGGAAGACTTAATTACTGCGTCACTTGTTACCTTCAAGTTTATCCAATCACGCCCTTACTCTTATCGTATAAAAGATTGGTACTTACACATGTTTGAGTTCGCAGATGCCGATGCGACAACACCCTCCACCCTCCCCACCACCACCAGGATGGTCCCGTCTATTCTTTCCTGGGGGGTCGGCTGCGCCCCT